TTCATACGCCATTGTCCTGAAGATTAACTTCCTCATCAACCTTTACAGTTGGCATGTGTTTCAGTATTTTTCTGCAATGTGTGTTGCCTTTTTCGTAAATAGACAGTGGATCAGGCGACTGGTAGTGGGATATGGGATGCTGACGAAGGTGGGTGATGGGGCTGGTTAAAGTTTGGGGAACGGGGCCCTTTTGCTTTATAGCAAAGGGTTGTCTTTGTGTTTCTCCACCAGATTTTGGTATATCTAAAAGACCCCTAAATTAAGACAGCACAAGAAGACTCTCTAAGAAGCCCACATTGATAGAGCAATAGACGACACTGCAATCAAATACCTGAACCCCATAAACTCAATAACCTCCCATCCCAACCCAACCCATACCCATACGCCCACTCCCACCCCTATGCCCCTATGCCAGAGCCACTGTCAAAATCCAGAAAGATCCAGCCAAAGTCAGAATACAGATATTTCCCAGGGGCTTAGGTTTCTGCAAAACAGCACAGAACCTTGTCAGACTACAAGCAGTATTGGGAAAATTCCACATCAGCGATTCCAGTATCTTTATATCCACATAGTTCACCCTAAGACAATTGTGGAGACAAATACATGTGATCCACAGCCAACACAATACAGGAACACAAGACCTCTGTTGTTCAATCTGCCCATTCAGAACATTCCCTAAAAGTATCCTGTCGACTACATTTCCTGTCAACAAACCAGAATTGTCCACACCTATCATCAATCATTAGAGTAAGTGAATTTAGTTTTACGCCGCCTTTAGCAATATTCCAACAAAATCATGTTGGGGGACACCACAAATGGGTGTCACGCATTGTAACCATATTGGGAATCGAACTCGGGTCGTTGGCGTGACGAGCGAACGCTTTCACCACTAGGCTTTAGGGGAAAGAGAAAACATCAAGAAAGAATCGAAATCCAAAGAAAGAAGCCAGCCATTAGGCAGAGGCATCTACCTTCCCAGTATGTACTTCACTGTGTTCATATCATCTACCTTCCCAGTATGTACTCCACTGTGATCATCATATCATCTACCTTCCCAGTATGTACTCCACTGTGATCATTTCATCTACCTTCCCAGTATGTACTCCACTGTGATCATATCATCTACCACTGAGCGCTTATTGACTGGATTATTGCTTAACTTAACCCCATTCATGTTAATCTTATTGTCTTCGTTATTACATAGTTATCCTTGTACATTAATCCTATCTCACTGGCTTCGTGAATGTACAGTATTTTTGTACATTAATCCTCTCCCATTGACTTTATCATACTATTGTTACCTTGTACATTCTTTCGCCTGAGTTGTGTAAACATAAATCTCGACACACTTACACAGCATTCACCTGATGGAGGACAAAATAGCTCCTGTCTTGACTTGTGATAAAGAATGAAAAAAGAAGTTATCATGTATTAACGGCTTTTAAATGTTATACCTGGTGTAGGCAAACTCCGTGCAGCCTCAGGATTCTGCTCATCCCTACTGTTTCCCTTACACGCAGTAGTGCAATAGGACGGGCAACTTCTTCTGCAAAGCAAAGGATGAAATAGAAAAGCTCCTTATAAGGTGCAAGCATCTCAGTCACCCTTGCGCACATGTGCTCTCCGTTCATACAATGGTAATATTCAAAATGATAATAAACAAAATTAATGCCTCTTAAATGGATCTCATGTTTCTTCCTCATTTGAAATACAATGTCATGGTCCATATGCCTTTTCCCCATATCTCTCTTGTGTTTCAAAAGCTGTTGGAAATGCACAGGACTGCTCTTTGCTCATACAGTAGGATCTGACTGACATACTGTGATGTCACTCCCAGAACACGAGTATATTACGTATGGCATATCCATGTGTATAGCGGTATAGTAATGGCATATCACATTGTATTTTTCCATTGATGGTCGTTTGTGGGCAAGTAGACTGGTTATTAAAACTTGTTCTGTCACGCTGCGGTCTCTGGTTCTATTTCCCAGGTGACTGCAATGTTTGGAACCTGTCTGGGTTGTTTCCAGCCATTATCTTACCTTAATGTAAAATACTTTAATTTCATTGGTCAGTGACCCTTTAACAAGTTTCCGTGTCCCCCTCCCAGGAGAGTGACAACTGGAAAAAATATTACCCGCTGCCACGGTAACCGCCAAACTCTCCGCCGAGAAACTGTATCGCTAACAATCGTATGAAGTCATGATATGACACATGCAGTGCCCGGAGTTCGAAAACCGTTCCATAAGCTGTTTTTGAGTTCACTATGTACACATTTAATTTACCGAATTTCACTGCATTATTTAAGCTATTTTATACATTGAATCCTTTGCACACTCAACTTAAACATAATTAACAGTTTTAAGCCTATCAGAATATGTTTCAATGATCTTAAAAATCCAGTCTAGAGGCAGACGCCATTTTGTTTACACGTGATATAGTCGGGAGCAATCTTATCGATCTTCAAAATTTTCCAAAAATATATATTTTGTACATTTAACATGGCGGTAGGATAAATACGTTGTGTACGTTGTAAGGCGTACATCAGACCGTATTACCCTAAAGAGCAGCATACTATTTATATTATATATCCTGTAAAGTTTCACATAGAGCAGTTAACTACCCTCACACAACCGCTTACCTCTCTGTTTTTGTCGTCCAAACGTGAAGAATCTCTTAAAACCTTCTTTTATCTTGACACCACGGTGAACTTCAGGCTTCTGACTTCTCCGAATAACTGAACTCCTGTTTGAGGATGCCAGACTGCTTCCCTCACTATCAAACCCGCTGTCCTCAGTAGCAAGAGATATCTGATCGAAGGCCTCCAGCTCCTCTATTCTCTGTTGGGTGTTAATAGAGCAAAATAAGGAGTAAGTAGAATGTACGCTGTAGCCGTATCACGAATGGTGTACAGTGTGATGTACACTCTGTGTTGCCGTGTAGCTTAAGCTATGTACATGCAACACAGAGGGTACCGTTCACCCCGAGTGATGAGGCTACAATGAATTTATCTTATGTCATGGCTACATTTTCGTCTATCTTAACGTAGGCACTAAACCTAATGTTAACAGAATGTTGTATAAGAAATACAGTTAGACAGTTCCAATTCATGATATTGATTTAATTCAGCTACACCCCGTTGAAAGAACGCCACCATAAACACATTAACTATAGGTGATATATTTAATTGCAAAGGAAAATCACAGAACCACGTCTCACAAGGTTTGTACAGTATGACCTACGAAAACCTGATCAAAAGACTGGTGAAGCAAAATGAAGCGACAAAACCCATTCCGCATCCACAAGAATTCTGTGTTAAAAGCAGAGTCGATTGTATCATGAATATACATTTGTTTCAGCAGTATTACAGCTGTACGATGTTGTTTGTAACCAAATGGAATGCAAGTAATATAGTGATTGTGGTCATGCGATACGACGACAGATCATGTTTTTATGAATCACTATGAAATAGTGATGGTACCAGGTGTTCGCAAAAAGGTGAGCGTATTCTGCCCCACCGGTGGCACCCGTCATAAACAAATGCAAAGTTTAGTCAATTGTTCACCTGAAATAATTCGGGAACGTATGGATCAAGTCAAAATAGAGAATTGCACCGGACATCATTTTTGTCACTGATGCATCATTTTTGTCAGTTTCGAAATGTCCTCCACATGTCTACCATAAAACATTTTGAAATCTTTACAGAGGCCTTGGATGTTGTAACCTTGATCGAACAACTTCAAGTTCAAGAGTGGTATGACGCTCTTTGAAATCTTGGTGAAAAGTATTCACAAAAGAAGAACACCACAGGCTAGAGCTGTTGGAATATTGCTCGATATAGCAGAGTATTGGGGAGTTGAAATCATCCCTTTTGTCACACAGCCTTGTGAAGAGTTTCTTGTCACACTGAAGCTTTATGCATGGAACTAAATACGAATCAGTCGGGGCGGTCTCACTTGTCTCCTTAATTTCAAGTTCAGGCGAGGTAAATCAGTGGAAGGCAAGTGTGTATTTGATGGTTGTTGAACAATATTAAATCAATTATGCACCTGAAGCTAAATTACCCTTGTTTTGATTTTGCCAGCATATGCAGAAATTCTGATTCATATGCCAAAAGAAACAGATCCGCCAGGACTGTAGCGCGATTGGTGCCCATGGGGATGCCAACTTCATGTCAAAATGTTTACCCCTAGATTTTACGAAGATGTTATCAATGAGAAAACCCAGCATTTCACATACTGTTTTCTCGGTAAACTACTATTGGCATATGCTTTTATGTTTGACAAATTGTCCTGAACCTCTGAAGATAGATATGTAGGTGTCCGTGTACACCACATTTGTTTACAAATGCCCCATGAATCAAGGAATGAAAATTTCCCTTAAGTTTGCCATGTGGGACAGTGGTATACAACGCTGAACAATCAAATGGTTTCACAGGAAGCATTGAACAAGGCTTTGCAACACAGCAGACATTTAAGACTTATGTCAACAACTTATGTGGCACAGTTGCTTCGATAGAAAATCCCTTCCTGGAAGAGTTTCCTGAACTGATAACCCTTGATGAGCATTACTGTGTTGGTGGAGCTGTCGTAGCATCTATGGAATCAATGGAGAACACAGGAAAAGACACATGTGAGAAGTTTGTAAAGGATGTTTTTGTGGAAAACACAGAGTCAATTCACAGCCCCATCAAGAAGAATCACCTCCCTTTTTTCAAGAGATCACAAACAAAACCTCTGTCTAAATCAAGCAGCAAACAAATGACCTGAAATATGACTACAGTCTCTTCAATCAGATGATCATTGAATGTCAGTACGTCGATCTGATTTAAATCAATTCTTTCTCATGAAAACCACCCGTGGCAACCATCCATATCAATTCATGGAAAACTTCATTTACCAAACTGCAAATCAGAGCTCTTATATTGTCTTGCATCACCTGAGTATGACTCCTGACATTGATGCTAAAGTGTTTGATGGCGCCGCCGTTGTTCATGCACTGCATAGAGGTTATTCCTAAACGTTTGGTGATTTTCGTGTCTTCTCTCTTCTTACTATAGACGAAGAGACAACTGGAGGACTGCCATCGTATCGACATTGTTTGGAACATCTACAAAGAAGGTAGCCTGAAGGAGACAACACGAGAAACGCGAAAAAAAGGCAGCCTCTTTTCTAAAGGAATCACAGAATCCAAAGACAAAGAAGAACTCTTTGCATTCTTAATAGATGGTAAACCAAAAGGTGATGTCCATAACAGTGGTGACCGTAGGAAGTGAAGAGGATATGATCAGGAAAAATCCGGATACCAGACTCTGCCTTCATGTCAAAGATACTTTGCAAAAAGTGATTCAAACATCATGCTTAGCACTGTCGACACAGATGTGTTGTTGTCCAAAAAGTCTGCTGTTCACCTATGGGTGCCATTTGGACAAGGGAAAAACTTCAGATATTATTACATCAACAGAATATTTCAAGATCTGGGATGTCGAAGATAAGTGGCGCTTCCCTTTTTCCACGCATTTACTGGTTCTGACACATTCACAGTTCAGTGGAAAAGGCAACTGCTCAAGACTTGGATATCCTATGTGGATGTGGCTCAGAAGGCACAGCATCCATTCCAACTTGTGGACAAAGACTCAGAAGTGTTTTCATCACTTGAACTATTCACATACATCATGTCTGACAACACTACATCAGTGAACATAGTCAACGAACTGTGACAAGAAATGTTCTGCCATGGCCGCAAGATCAAATGGAACCAGAACCTTCTTCCCATTCAGGATGTTCTGTTACAGCACACAAACAGGAGCTTGTACCAGATCAGCATATGGCTTACTTCCCAGACAGAAACCACCAGAGCAAGATTTGTTTGGTTGGACAAGGGATGACAACACATATCGACAGTGTGGATGACACTGCTAGAAGCTTTACGGAGTTGTATCAAATGTGGCTGCAAGTCTCAACCTCTAGATGCTCAAAGAAGTGCATTTATAATCTTCTAAAACTTCTAAGGACATCGCCCTGTAACTGCAATAGGAACTGTTAAGGAAGACTTGAGTATCACAGAGATCGTTCTTTGACAAAATGATGTCACGTGACTGATCAAAACAGTATTTTTTCATTAATTGGATGATGAATTATATCTTTTACTACTAAAAATAGATCTTGTTTGTAAGAGTTCTTGAAAGTATTACTAATAGCCCTTTGAACGGCGAATATATCTCACATATTGGAACAAAATGAAGATTTTTATAGTCGGCGACCATTCTGGGTGGACTTCAGCACTCTTTGATTTTTGGTGGCCGTCTTTTTTCGGTAAATAGGCCCCAAAAAGCGGGCACATCTCCAAAATATGTTTAATCATGATGTTCCCTAGCACTTTGCACGGTATTCTGCACGGTATTTAATCCAGCGGGGTAAAGCCACGTTGTGTAAGAATTGGAAATCCTTGACGTTTAGGCAGCCATCTTGGACGCCATCCCGGATTATTCGGAAAATGGGCACAAAAAATCGGAAACACCCCAAAAAAATGTTTTAGCATTATGTTCCCTAGTACCGTGCAATGTTTTCTGCTTTAATCCGGTGGGGAAAAGTCACGTAGTGTTACAATTGGAAATCCTTGATTTTCGTCAGCCATCTTGGATTTTTCGGAAAAGGCCCCCAAAATCGGGCACCCCAAAACTATGTTTTATTATGATATTCCCCAGCACTTTGCAAAGTTTCATGCTTTAGTCCGCCAAGTATCTAATTTCACCTTAAACCACTGCACTACTTGGCGTGGCTGGACCAGCAGGAAAAACTCTCGTCTCCCCTCGCAAAGTGAGTGAGGATCGTGGCGGCAGTAGCACGAATACGGTGATCCTGTAAACCTGGACCAAACCACAACACTTGATGATAGTACACATGAAGGTAGCTTGTGTGTTTTTTCCCGACTAGCTTGTTTGTGTACCAGGGTTGAACCATTGTCTCAGAAACTGTCTCTTCGATTCTACCATAATCGATAGCAATCGTGATGAAGCTTAGCTGAGTAGGTAACGTAAGATGTAGATGGACAGAAAATTAGAAAGAAGAAGAAAATTAGGTTGCTTCATCATCAAACCGCCAAATGATTCCTTATCATCTCTGTGACTTTGCGTCAGTTCTCTGTTTCTCTGTACATAACGGAGGCCAGTATCAGAATCGGTGTTCACGATAATGTAGGTTTTTCCATGTTTTCAAAACCTTGCCAGAAAGTTGAAGTCTGATGTCAAACTGGACCTTGTTAGCCAGTCCATGTGGTGTCTGAGTGTTCAAGTGTATAAACGAATATAGTTTCTGCCGATCTGAATCAAAGATCACTTATTTGTGTTTTGTCTCACCCTTGCCATCAGCCTTCAAATCGAGCGAGCATTGCCCTTTTAAGAGACTCGTTGAAATAGTTGAATATCGCAATTTTGATTATGTCAAAGTCTGTAACACTGTAACAGGGATTTCAAATGTTTTGAGACTCTGCCTAATATTCCAAAAACTCATGTCTTGTCTTGCTCACCTGTTTTGGGTCTGAAAGCCATGTAGAAATGACTGAGCATTTCTACTTAAGCCACAGCGTCGAATCCTTCGAAAGTTATGTCTTGTTCCTTTCTGCCACCTATTCCCTATGTTTGTGAGCAGTCTTGTGTTAACTGGGATCAGTTAAGAACGTCTGGTAATATCTTACTAAGAATGTGCAGCGTTTAGTTGCCAGTGGTACATAACAATTTATCATGTTCAGATTAAACTGCCAACATACGTGTCTCCTTTGTTGGGCAGACCCTTGTATATATATTAGAATCTTGCATAAAGAAAGATGGATTGATTGGAGATTAATAGGTCATTGTTTGTTTTCATTATAACGTAATCAGATTTAAATGTATGTACGCCCTATGTTGTTTAACATTCAATGATTTCTCCATGGTCTGGTCGATGGAGCATCCAGCTGGAGAATGGCAGGTTTCTGGTTTACCAAAACACGTTAAAGGATGCTGTAAGCCTGTTAGTACAAGCATCCACAAACACCGTGTGAGCACGTCCCTATCTAATTGGCATGATCTTCAAAGCAACATCAAACAGTATTTCACCACACTACAACTCAACATTGTATTAGTCATCAATAGTCACCTTCCTCAGTCGAATATTTTCTTCCTGAAGACTCGCGATGATACCTGAGAAATAGAATAATAATAGCATGTATGACATGTAGAACACAACGTACTGTCGTTAACAGAATAGCGTATTGTAGACAAAGAAAATCATTATAAATTTTGTATAAATCCATTTCATGTAAGAAATTCGAAAAAAGATTGCATAGAAGCATAAATAGTCAATCTAGCTTTTGGAAACAGATATGATCATTACAAAACAAATCCAAACAGACGAATCTTATAATGAGAACAGAATGGCTTTACCATTTTAAAAATGTTTTTGTAAATATCAATGTTTTTTCCTCACTTTGATGATAAAAAGGAAATCTTTTCAGATCAGTACACATGTATTGATGCATTCATTCTAAATTCTACTATAACTGAACATGAAATTACATCATCAATAAAAAACTTAAAGAACGGGAAATCTGCCGGGCCCGATCAAGTGCTGATAGAGATGCTTAAATGCTCCCATTTTGATATAATGCCATTTCTCCATAAATGTTCAACAAACTGTTTGACAATCAAATATTTCCCAGCAGTTGGTCTTGTTCAGAAATAGTCCCTTTACATAAGAAAGGCGATCCGAGAGACCCTGACAACTATAGCGGGAGCTCATTAATGAGTGTCCTGAGGAAAGTTTTACTGCTGTTTTAAATAGACTTACGAACTGGGCCAATATGAGAGATAAGGCTCTGACTTAGCCAGAGTCTTCCTAAAAAGGTCTTGTTAAGACGACATTGCACTATGGCTAGGTGAGAGCCAGGCAATTAGCATTAGCCACTGACGCATGAGCCTTTGTTCTAGGGCTATAGTCTATATCTACAATTCGACACAATTGAAGATGTATGCAAGTGTGTGTATAGTTTAAACAATATTTATTCTTGTACCACTAGTAGTGTACAGTGGGATTGACAAACAGTGTTTTCCCTATATTAATGTCTCTCCCCAAACTAACAAATATTACAACAGTCCTTCAAGATTAGATAATGCAGTGTTCAAGTTGCTGCATCCCAGTCTAATACGGCAATGTAAGTATTTGATTATTTCTCGTTTGACTGGCATTTTAGAAGTTGATACGTACAATATAGAACAAGTTTTATGGATAACAACTTCTTTATTTCGTGAGTGCGACGTTTCAGTACAGATTCTTGTACCATTGTCAAGCAAGAGCATATGATATTGATTATTTCTCAATCCATAGTTCTGCACAATTTCGTGTCCACTAGGCTGTCCAACCGCCCAGTATCACTAGAGAATTGGTCCATACAGCAATAAATATGTGAGTGGAATTTGTAAGTGTAACAGTTAAAATGTTATCTTGTCGTACACGTGTTGAGTGGTACTGGCACCCTTTATCACTGTTAAAAAGTAGATTCTAACATACATAGATAGGCTTGACTTTGGATCCGATTGTTGACTTTGTGAATAGGCTGGGATTTAGAAGTGGTTACTAGCACTCAATGATTAGGCTGGTATTCAGAAGTGGATACTTGGCCAAAGAAGCATCATTTGTTAACATTTTTAGCACCCATTTCTCATAATTTACATAATACACTACACCTTTTGCACCAAGCATATTTTTATTTACATGTTCTGTAAAATGTAAAGACATTCAAATAATACCATACCAATGTGTCTCACTTTAATAAAAAATTTAACTAATCTTACAAACTGAGCATTTTCTAATCATGACCATTTTGTTCATACAGACAATAGCTCAGCACACGTAATATGAAAAATGTAAAAAATATCAAATAATACCAAACCAGTGTGTCTCACTTTAATACAAAATTCACGAAACTCACTAATTGAGCATTTTCTTGATACAGACTATATGGCTCATCTGGACCTGCGTTATCAAAACACTAACCCTGGTAAGCCAGATCTCACTCTGGCTAAGTGAGATACCTGTTTTGACATAATCTGGCTAAGTGAGAGGACACCGAGATAAGATATCGGAAGATTAAGCTGGGTTAGAAAAAAATACTCAACCATAGGTCACATTTTTTACATTATATCCTGTAGTTCAAAAAATGTTTATTACGTCGTTAATACAAATTATACGTTGCCTTTATTGATTTTAAAAGCACTTGATACAGTTGATCGTTATAAATTATGGTGTTGTTTGAGAAAAGCTGGGCTACAAGGGAAGATGTATTATATCCCCAAATCAATGAATTCAAACATCGAATCATGTGTACGTAGTGATTATGGTGTTACTGATTTTTTGTAATTGCCCGTCCGGCTTACGTCAGGTATGTATATTGAGTCCTCTGATATTTTTGTTTTTCATTAGCGATTTGTAATATGAAATTTCAAGTAACGGTAAGGATGGTTTACAGATGTATCCTGACAGCCTAGAAATCGTTATGCCCCTTTTTGCCGACGATGTTATTTTTCTATCTCACACAGTTATTGTGAGTTGAGAATCAGTTGAATGTATTAGATAAATATACTAAGGAATGGAATTTATATGTAACTTCAGATAAGATAGAAATTATAGCATTCAGAAAGGGGACCCTTTAAAGGAAATATTGTACTTACATAGAAAACCAGTCAATGCAGCTAATGGCTATAAGTATCTTGGTATACTGTTTAATTCAACACTTAATATGGACAAATGTGTTTCTGATTTATCACTGCGAGGGAAACGAGCTTTACTTAATATAATGTCGGTTTAACGTAAACCTTCAGTTATCACATCTAATGTATTTTTCAAATTATTTGATACCCAATTACAGCCAATCCTGTTGTACTGGTCCGAAGTGTATGGTTACCAAAGATTTGATTGTTTAGAAAGAATTCACCTACGTGTTGGATTAGCAGCTCCAAATAATATGATATGTGGAGAATGTGGAAGATACCCACTTTACATTAATTCGCAAATGAAGTGTTTAAAATATTGGCTTAATACCATCCGTAAGCCAGAACATCAGCTTCCGAAAATAGCTTATAACATGATCTTTCATCGAGATAGTATCGGTAAGGTTACATGGACATAAGGGCACTATTATTCTCACATGGATATGGTGTTGTATGGTTTAATCAATCTTATATTTATTTCTAAATGATTTTCGTAAAGCAGCAATAAATATGTCCTATCAAGGATGGCAATCCAAACAGTTCACGTTATGATCTGTACAAAACGTTTAAGACTTTATTAGAACCAGAAACATATTGATCAGTTTTAACAAATAGTAACCTAAGAAATTATTTATATTAAATACAGAATTGGCTTGTCAAAAGTACTGATTTTTTATGGACAGAATATAGCACTTGAAAGAATACAAAGAATTTGTCCATTATGTAACTTTGCTACAGAAGACGAAATACACTTTACCTTTGAATGTCTGTTCTGTTCCTTATTATGCAGAAATACGAACTAAATCTGTACCAGAACGTTTCTCATCTAAGATAAGTAGAATAGGGTTTGTTTCTATTTTGCCATCGAATGATGCCGATGTAATATTTAAACTATCTTTATTTGTAAAACATGGAAGCCAAACATTGTGCATCTATACGGAAACTCACAATCACTAATACAGTTGGGATGAGCAGTCGCCAAACAATGCCCCCGAGACAGTGTCTTATTAAACATACGAAAGCGAGAGGGAGGAAGTCTGGACAGTTGGACAAGTACCATCACATGGGTGGGGTTACAAAGAGGCTTGGCTTTGGTAGGACTGAAAAACGATACCTAGACCACTTCGTTTCAATGCATTTAGTAACTGTACTATGTTTTATGTTCAATTTCCCGTTATCAATAGAGAAATCAAAACAATAACAGTAACGCGGATACCGCTATAACTGACTCTATGCAGCAGTGGTGTTACACATTGTTTTGCCTCTGATTGATAGATGACAGACATTGCTTTAATTAATTATAGGGCTTTACAGAACAATATAGTCAAAAACAAATATGACAGTTTGATCAAAGCTTATAAAAGTAATCTCTATTTCAGTTATATACTCCTCATAAAATGTTAAGCAACATGAATTTGTAGTCTCGTTACAGTTCATTTATTGAAATTGCAAATCATGGAATGATGCAATAGAAAGGTGAAACATATGTACACACAATAAACAAAATGGTATTGAGCAATAATAGACTTACAAATTATCAAAAGTATGTACCCGCGTAAACAGTCGTGCAAAATGTGCTGTATTGATAGAGCAAAATTTTAGCATTAAGGTTCAAGTCAGTTTTGGACAGTGAAGCAGTGTTCAGTAACGCGTATGACCACCATGAGCACAAATTCAAGCTTCTACACGTCTTTGCATTGACCAAATGAGCCTTTAAAGTTGCTGTGGTGGAATGTTCTGCCATTCTCTCTGTAACGCCTGCTCAAGGTGATCCAGAGTCTGGGGTTGAACATGGAGCCGTAAACACGACTTCCAATAATGTCCTAAGCATATTCAATGGGATTAAAATCGATTGAACGTGCAGGCGGGTCCATATGCGTGATGTTGTCGATCTAAACAACATCGTTAACACCTCTTTCTCGGGCATTATCATCCATAAAAATGACGTTAGGACCTGCTTGTTGTGCCAAAAGGAATGTTTACAGGTGGGTTTACACCGTCCAGGGTGCATGTGTGAAGAGTGGAGCAAATTCATGCCACACATTTTGTATGTTGTTTCTGAGGGTGGTTGTGTTCGGGTGATGTTGTCAATGTTATCAGATAAATCAATTTGACAGTCAAAGTTAAGTATTCTTTAAATATTTACCTTTCCGTAACATGTCGGCAAAAATCGCTATCGAGATTGATACTGATAAATACTTGTGGCTTAATTTTTTGTGAGGAGTATACTTTGTTAACGTGTAAAGGATTGTTATGTTTTGTTAAAAAAAAACAAAAATATTATTTTCTTTGGATACTGGTACCGGGCTTGGCATTTTTTACGATATCCGACTTTCCATGTCTCGCCATATGAAGCTTACCTTTCTGCAATCCCCAAGTATATATAGGATACCACGCGAGTGTGTTTTCTGATGGTTAATATCCTGCATTTGGAA